CGCTCTCTCTCTCTCTCTCTCTCTCTCTCTCTCTCTCTCTCTCTCTCTCTCTCTCTCTCTCTCTTTTCTTTCTTTCTTTTACTCTATTTCTGTAATAAAGTGCTGCATCTCCAGTAATCACACTTCCTATCTTCATAATTTGATGCAGAAGCTATCAACTAGAACGACAATGCAATATTCTAATATACGCAAACTAACCTTTCTCTTTTTCTCTTTTTCTTTTCCTTTTGCTTTGTTTTTCTTCATGCCAAGCAAAGAATTTCCTTCTCCATTTAAAATCCCTCCTTCCCCTCTGAAAATGTGTACGTGGTCGTCGCTGCAAACAACTAAGTAATTGGCTTCTGTTCATTTAAGCACACAAAGTTCCCATGGCTAGCGTCAAGGTGTTTGGATCCCCAACTTCTGCAGAGGTTGCACGAGTGTTGACATGCCTATTCGAGAAGGATGTTGAATTTCAGCTCATCCGTGTTGAGAACTTCAAGGGTCGTGAGAGGAAGCCAGAGTACCTCAAGCTGCAGGTATTGTTAACATCAAATTTAGATTAATATATTTCTATAACAGTCTTTCAATAGATAATAATGGAAGAGTATTAATTATTTTTATAATTTTATTGCAGGCCTCGGGCCAAGCTCTTACCTTTGAAGATGGCTCAGTCACCCTCGTTGGTAATAATGCTATTATCCACTATTTGCATATTCAGGATTGAGATACTTTGCAATATTCAAGTAGAGAAATCATAATAGAGTTATTGATTCTGCTAGAGAATTTCCCTAAAACTAGTACAAGGATTGATGTGTCTGCGGATATCCCTATTAATACAAACTGCATTTTTATGTGCCTACAGATTCAAGGGCAATATGCCGACATTTAGCCGAGAAGTATGCTGATCAAGGTAACAAGAATTTAATAGGCTCAGGCACTCTTGAGAGGGCTTCAATCGAGCAGTGGCTTCAGACTGAAGCTGAAAGTTTCGAACCACCTAGCTCTTCATTGGTGTTCCACCTAGCTTTTGCACCATACATAGGTATTAAAGTTCTTTTCACTGTGCTGCGACTTCAAACTTACAATAAAAAGAAGGAGGGGGGGGGGGGGGGGGGGGGGGGCGGGTGGGGGGGGGCTGTTAATAGAAGACCACCGTTAAAATAGGTTGCCAATATGAAAATGCACCATTAAAGTTCAATTAACACAGCAATTAACTACCATGGCATTCAAATGTTGAATATTCTTCTGGCATAGAAGAAATTGAAGATTGAGCTTACTGAGATGGGCAAGAAGATTGGGTTAACTGAAGATGAAAACAAAATGTTGGTATATAAATACTTAAGATTTCAATTGAAATTTTACTAGAAACTAGGTCAAGGTGGTTGATTGCTACCGGAAACCCTTCAAAGGTGGTTTCTGTATTAATTAAACTTGAAAGGTGGTTTTCATATTATCACCCTATTTAAAGGTGGTTTCTATGGGGGGGAAAATCCCTAATAAAAATTGAGGGTTATAATTCTATATTTTAACAACAGGGCTCGAGCCAGATGAGACAGTGGTTAAAGAAAGCTTGCGAAAACTAGAGAGAGTGCTTAACATCTATGAGCAGAGGTTGGAGGAAACTAGCTACCTTGCAGGAGACAACTTCACGCTTGCTGATCTATCTCACTTGCCAAATGCTCATCGAATCATGACGAAGCTACCACAGCATGCTAAGCTGTTCATGGGGAGGAAGCGGGTGAGCAAGTGGTGGGAGAAAATATCAGGCCGGAAATCTTGGAAGAAGGTGGTTGAGATGCAGAAGGAGTCACCTGTAGAAGCCTAAGGATGATGATGAGGAATAAGGAAACTTGGTTTAGTTGCTCAGTTTGATTTCAGTATTTTGTTTCAGTTTGATGTTGGAAGTAATGCTGGTTATACAGTTAGAACAATGATAACTATACTATGGGTTTCTACGCTACTTCCACTTTACAAGAGAGAAAAGTGTGGACACCTTGATGAGTATCAATTTTGAAAAAAATTAAAAAGGTTGTACCCCACACTTTTCCATCTTGAAGTGGTGCAAGTTGAGTAGTATAGTTATCACTACTCAGTTATTATGCATTATCCATTATGTCAATTTGCTTTGTTTTGTGGTTGGCCATATGCTTTTTGTATGGAACCATTTAGTTTGTGTGATGGGGATCTTACTAAAATAATATTGCCTTTATAGAGGAGTTCTAATGGCATTCTCTCACGCTGGGAAATCTTAAAGGATTCTGTGTTCATCACCCAATCCCTTGTCTCCACTGAGCTTGTTGCATGGGGTTTTTCTAGAATGAGACCCTAAATTCTATCATATTTTTACACTAGACGTCTAAATCTTTGTATTCTTAATTTACACTCCAAATCTTTTAAATTGTTTTAAATTCTACCTCCAAGTTAAATTCTGTTGACATAAGTTATCGTGTTTTTAAATACTAAAGTATTATTAAGAAATCACCTTAATACCCTTCACTATGGAGTAATGCAGTGGTTTAAGTAACCATGTCCTCTCCCATGTGAGTAATAGAGTGGAAAACGTAGAGATTTGCAATCAAAACACAGCAAGCCTAAGCTATTGGCCTGCATCCATCATGCAAAGCCCCTCTCATACCTTTGTTTCTTTTCACGATGAAAATATTCCAACCTCTTATTTCTTCAAAATAGTTTAAAAAAAATATCCAAGATGATAGAACATACAATATCCTCTAGGTACTAGAAATCTCAACCTTTAAGAATAAACTTCATGCCAGAGTCAATGCTATAAATATAAAGAAGAAGGATACCTTTCCTTGATGACATACGTATGAAGGCAGTAACTTTCTTAACCTGTCTGGGTGAAGATTGTATTTCTTCCAAACAAGAATAACGAGAACCTGTGTAAAGATGCATAACATTTGCAATGCACTAAGGTATTACTGAAAATTTTGAAATTACCATACACAAGAAAAGTTTATCCCTCAAATCATCAGAACATTTGGAGATAATTATTCCCTACAGGATCCAATTGTTCCTTCACCTCCTTGGCTAATTATCCATTCTATTAAAGCATAAATAGTTGATCGAAGTCCAAACTATATTCAGCTTTCCAAAATAATGCTACTGCTCTGCTGGAAGTCCATTTTGTAACCATGCTGAAAAACCTCCCGCAACGTCAGTGACTCCAGTAAAACCCTGCAAAAAAAGATGAATTTGATAAGCATAAACTCATTGAAGGGATGCTTGTATCTTTGAATCTTTTTACTTTTTTTTCATCATCAAGTATTCTTTAACGTGTATCTCTGAACTGGGCAATATGAGAACTACTTACAGTAGATGAAAGATCAGTTGCAGCCATCAGTGACCTTTTCCCACTTTGACATCCCTACAAAGAACTACAACCTTATCTTACCATCCTTGTGATAGCATTAAAATAAAGATATAAGCTGTGCCACTCACAATAATTATTTCATCATCCTTGTCAAATGCTGATGACACTTCCGCCAAAAAGTTAGGGTTCTTGGTCATCCCTGTATGTATAAATGATATGTATTCATTTTAGTAAACATGATGGCGCAGACTAAGTTTTGGAAAACACATCAAATGAAATATTTATGTAAGAACGGAACTTTTATACTGCAAACGATAATGATCCATAAATAAATTGAGCATACAAAGCACATTCTGAGTGCTAAGTAGCATCAATACTTCAACGAAGGAGACATACCGCATGTTAGGCACATATCTGCTACTTGAATAATTTGATACTTAATACTTAATAGACGTGTAGAATACTTTTTTTGACATATATTAAAAGATATCCAAAATATTCTAGACGTATCAAAGAAATATCATATTGTGATTTACAAGAGTTTAGTCCCACATTGGTGGGAGAGTAAGACTTCAAGTGGTTTATATAGTAAAACCAAAGAATCAAATGTAGCATCGACTAGTCGATTGTGGCAGTGGTATGAGCCAAACAACGTGCTACACTCAGTGGGTCCCACGGCTTATAGCTGCCAACGGGCTCACAGGCCCGGAGTGTGACAAATGGTATCACAGCATTTAGCCAGTCGGAAGTATGGAGCTAAGTATTATGCGGGGCTAACTGCTGCATTGTGTGAACATGGTTGGAGCCACTTCCAAAGCCCGTAGGAGCCACCTCTATGGTCCACATTGCCTGGCACATCGCGTATTTAAGATGGGGGTGATTGTGATGCCCATGAGTTTAGTCTCACATTTGTGGGAGTGTAAGACTTTGAGTGGTTTATATAGTAAAACCAAAGACTCAATTGTAGCATCGACTTGTCTATTTTGGCAATGGTTTGAGCCAAACAATGCGCTACACTAGGTGGGTCCCATGGCTTACATCGCGTCAACGGGCTCACGGGCCCGAGGCCCAAGGCGTGACACATATATAGGGTGGTATTAGTTCAAAGATATAACTAGAAGGCAAATTTTTTTTCCATAATCTTAATCTAAGACTGAAATGAAACTGCTAAACAATCTAAATCTAGAAGCTCTAGGGACTTCATAATCTAGATCCTCAAAGATAAGATAACAATATTTCTCACTTCTTTATCTATTCTCTCTTTTCTTAATCTTTTTCTCTTTTGCTTATTAGGACTCTCTTGATATTTTCAAAGATCCTTTATTCTATTAGAGGTCACTAGTGTCTTCTCAATGTTGAAGATGGTGAATGAATGTGGGCCTTCTCTTGAAATGAAGAGAAATGGGCTATTTATGGGGAAAAGGTGCCAGTTGATGTTATTTGAAATGGATGGTCATGATTCAGTGAGCCGTTGAAGTTTTGAATGGAGGATGTCACTAAAAGGAGGTTACAATATGAAGATAGAGACTGTGAGCAAAACTTGAGATTATCTTTGGATGGTTCATGTTGGCATATAACATACTAAGGGTTGAGCTTTTAGTTGTGATTGTGATCTCTGCTTGTCTATGACTCTATGCTTTCAACAATGATGATGATGACCATTCTGCGAAAGCACAGGTGCTGGCATGAAACTTGTATGTGATAGTGAGAGTGGAAATGAGACTGATTACCGCAAGCATTTACATGACAATTCTGGGGCATTTTTGATATAGGGTATGGAACTTGTAGATGGACAAGTTAAACAGAGGTAACGGTGTCTCGCATGCTTTAAGTTTGATTGGGCCAAACCAGGAAAATTAAAGTGTGTGCACCATTGGCTCAATTACTTATCCATTGGGACTCCAGTAAAAAAAAGGCAAACAAACTCTAATTGGGTCAACATTAGATGATATAACTAAAAATGGATTAATAAGATGCTATATGGATCTAAAATTGGCTTTATGCGCTGGAAACTGTACGTTACAAAGTTTTTGATAAAATTTATTAGGAATCAATCATTATTAATAAAGTTCAACAGAAACTAACTGAAAGAAAAAAAATTAAAAATAAAATAAAGTTCTGGTTGTTTGGATAATGCAGTGTAAGAGTAGCAGAAACAAATTTTATGTGGCATCTGAACCTAAAACTTAGCTGCAAATGGTTCCAATTTGTTGCAATAGAATGTCTGACTTTGAACTAAGGAAGGTTGTTTTCTAGATAGTTTTTGATGGTTTGAGGTAACACGAAGATACCATAGATTCTTCACATCCTAAGTCCAGTTCATCTTGGAGCAAGAATTAACACCTAAACTATTCTTATCCATTGCTAAATAGGGTCCTAAGTCTCCAACTATTTTAAACAGCAACAAAACCTAGAAATCCTATACTTAATAACATCGTCAGTGAAAATACCATGCTTTATTCCTCAAAAAGCTCATCACATAGTCCCACTACATTTTTCAGAAACTTTTCCTGCCCAAGATGTATATTGTAAGATATCTAATAGTAGCCTCAACAAAAGTATCAAGAATCACAATCAAACCATGATCTGTTTTACTCTTTATACTTATCTGGCCACAGAACGAGAAATATGTTAACATCGCAAAAAGCTCATCACATAGTCCTACTACAATTTTGAGAAAGCTTTCCTGCCCAAGATGTATAGTTTAAGATATCTAATAGTAGCCTCAACAAAAGTATCGAGAATCACAAGCAAACCAATCTCTTTTACTCTTTATATTTATCTAGCCACAGGAAGAGAAATATATTAACATTGCAACAAGGAAATGAATACATACTAGGATTAAAATTTCAAACCATATACAAGTTCAAATTCGGGTATACTTCACAAAATCACCAAGAAGGTTGCCGATTGTGAGATAACCCCCGAAAAGTTTGGAAATGTCACTTAACGCCCTAAACCTTTGCACTGAATCTATTTTCAAATTTGGGTTAAGTGACATTCCAAACCTTTTGGGGGTAATTTCAAAGGGACAAACATCTTAGAGGTTATATGAAAATCTTGTGCGGGTTAAGTGACATTTCCAAACTTTTGGGATTGTCTAAAAAGGGGCCAAACTTCCCGAGGATTTTGTAAATTTACCCCTCAAAAAAATTTTGACGCAAATTGAACAAACTATCAATCTCATTTGTACACAAAGACACAGAAAAAAGCTAAGAAAGCAAAATCTAAAGACAACAGTTGCAATCATACCTGACCCAACTTTAAACATGTAAGGGATATTTGTAGCCCCCACGGGATGACCCGCATTGAACTCATCCACAGTCCTACAGCATCATCTCGAAAAGCTAAATTTTCAAACTAAAAAAAAAATCATAAGATTGAAATCTATAATTTTCTTCAAACTTCTACCTAACATCAAGATATCTATGCCCAGCTTGCAGCAACTCGTGAGCAACTCGAACAGGCACCGATCTCAACACGGATTCTTCTGGGCTGGCATCAGTCGCCATCAACCTGATTCTATCAGATCAAAAATGCCCAAAACAAACCATCAATTATCAAGTTTCTTCATGCCTTCAGTTAATGTGAAGAAAAAGAAAGATACCCATTACCTCAAAATCCTAGTACATCTGCTTTCCGTCCCCAGAGACCATTTGAGCTGCTTTGAAAAGGAAAAAGAAGCTGGAATTGATGACAGAGACCTGCAAACAAAGTGTTCGATAAAATTCCCAGATGAAAGAGAGGAGAATGACAAAGTGATAAGATTGTGTTTGTAACCTCTTGAGCGCGAGAGGAGAGAGGAGAGCAGGCAGAGAGAATCGAGCGAAGCAGGCCATTCTTTTTTCTTCTACAATTTTTTTTTTCCTTGATTTCTTTTGATTGAAGAAGAAATGAGCTTCGGCTGTTTTGTCTTGGAGGCAAGAATGCGAAGCAGATACCTCGGGCGTTTCTCTCTCTCCCTCTTTTACTTATTTATATTTATATATTATATATTATATATTATATATTATATATATATATATTATATTTTTATATATATATATATATATATACTAGATTTTATGCACGGGCAATACACGTAGTTAAATACTGTAATTAGGTATTTTTAGTTTATTTTTTTACTAAATTACTCGGTTACACTTTGATAATTTTTACTCACTTTAATTTCAATATTTTTGGTTTATTTTCTTACTAAAATTTGTTCCTCTTACACTTTGATTATTTATTTATTTGATGTTGTTTGAATAGGCTACACCTAGTTTAAATTTTTATATTGATAGTTAAATTAATGTCAGGAGATAAATATAACTTAAAGCCAATTTAAATTTTTATTTCATTTGGATTGGTATGAAACCGAGCTCGACCTTAGGAAGTATAGTATTATGAAAGTGAAAAAAACTTTAAAAAATTACATTATAAAAGGAAGATGAATAATAAAGCTAACGAGCCAAGATGATTGATTTAAAGTGGTTTAAAATAATAAAAAATAGTTAATAAAAGAATCATAAACTAAAGATTAATGCTAACTCTAGTACACTTTTATATGGTAAAAGCATTCACATATGCATATGAAAACACTAAAAAAAGTTTATGAAAATCCCTTCTAAATATTCCTAATTTTACTAAAAAAATTAAACTATTCTATAACAATTCACAAAACATTATCCTTTATTGTTTCTATTTCATTTTTTATTGAGTCGAGATCAATCCTTCTTCATCTTTATCTTTTTCCTGGGCAATTCTAGAGTAGTGTCTTCATCGTTTACATCGATTATGATATGAGGCTGGAGCATGTTATCTTTCCTTGGGTTCTGTAATGACCGTAAATTTTCGATGCTAGTTAAATAATTTTTCTGGTATTCTAAAATATTAAAAATTTATTTTTAAATGAGTGTTTATATTCTCTATATTTTCTAGAATTTTCTATGATTTAAAAATCCGGTTTTATATAGTTTTGTTAATTATAAATTAAATTGTTACGATAAAAGTTTTTTTAATTAATATTTAAATTATTTCTTTATTATTAATTTACACTGATTTTATCCTGATTTTCCCCCTTGTAGTTCTCCTTAATTCCCTCACTAATTATTCCCCTAATTTCCTCTCTGATTCTCTTTCCTTAATATTCTCTTTTGAATTCTTTCCATAATCTCCCTAATCAATCCCCAAAATCACGTTTAATTTCTTACTCACGTGATTTTCTCTCTCTCTCTCTCTTCAATAATTCACCTGTACCCTCTCTCTCTCTCTCCATCACTTCTTTCTTCTTCAGACCATCACCACCGCACCCATCATCTCCTCTTCCTCCCCGCTCATTCATCCGCCCCTTCGTCCCATCTTGCCACCGCCCTCAGCCAGCCCTAGCCCCTCCGCCACTCGCCTCCAGCCTCCTCCTCGTCGATCCCACCTCGGCCGCTGCCCCAAGCGAGAACCGCCACCCCATCATCTCCTCTTCGCTCCCCGCTCATTCCTCCGCCCCCTCCGGCCATCTCGTCCACGCCCTCAACCAGCCCTAGCCCCCCGCACTCGCCTCCAGCCTCCACCTCGTCGACCCGCCTCGCCGCTGCCAAGCGAGAATCGCCACCCCATCTCTGACCTCAACCACCCGAGCCTCTCAGACCTCTCCCCTCCGTGGGCAGCCCCGACAGTCGCCTCACGAGCTCCAGCAATCGCGCTCGGACCACCTCCGCTCTCCTCCTGTTCGACAACAACGCTGACCTCAACAACCGCGCCGTCGCTCTCACCTCCGACAGCCCACCAGATCCAGGCCCGCGGGGACCACCAAGACCTCCTCCCCGCGAGATCTCCACCACCCGCCGACCAGCGACACCGACCCGAGCTCGCCACTGCCCGACGCCGACCTGAGTTCGCCGCCGAGTTCCACCCACGCTCAGATCCGACCCGCGCCATCAACGTTGAATCATTTGACGACCACCGAGGCAAGATCTTGCCTCTCCTTTTTATCGTTTCGATATTTACATTCTATGTGCGTAGATTAATCGTATTATAATTAACTGTGTGGGCCGTTGGTGAATGTTGTGTTGGACCCTAGAGGGGGGTGATTAGGGTCATGAAGCTATAATTATTCAATAAAAAATAGACAAGCAAGGCACAATATCTAAATGCAATCAAAATAGAGGAGATAGGGTTAGGAATCGTTATCCTTTGACGCGCGATGTGTTAACGAGGTTCGGTCGGCTGACCTACGTCCCCGCTCCCCACTCTCGAGGAGAAATCCACTACACAACCCGGTTTGGAAGCCGGAACTTTGTCTACACAGCGATCCCCTCACGATCTCACACTACACAGTTGATCTCACTAGATCACACTCCCACACAAATGATCTACACAAGATCAAGCTCTCAAAATAGTAGAAATGGTGTAAGAACTCTCTCTTTACAATGTCCCTATGGCAAAGAGAAGATAACACTGAAGCTAGGGATGTGAAACACAAAAACTCAGGTTTGAAAATTTTGCTCTGTAAAAACGTTCTCTGAAAAAGTTTGAAAGAGCTGGGACACTGAGGAAGAAGAAGGGTATGGGTTTAAATAGGAGAAACCAGCTATTTTGAAATCATAACCTAATCTTCCCAAACTAGAAACAATCTTCCAACAGACTGTGCCAAAGATCGTGTACAGTCAGCACAAGAAGCCAGGCAAAAGACCGTTGAAAAGACTTGGCGGTCGACCGTACAAATTTCGCGGTCGACCGCGACCCAGATCTGAAAACGAGAAAACAAACAGAAACTTCTACGGTCGACCGCGGCGGTCGACCGTGGGAAATTTTTTGTTCACGGTCGACCGCGGCGGTCGACCGTGAAAGTTTCTGCAGCCCAGAGACTTTCTGAAGCCAGGTACGGTCGACCGTAGCGGTCGACCACAATCTGATACATCCAGAAAACAAATTTGACTGACTTAAAATATTTGTAAAATATTCATTTGATTTCTAAAAATTGTGAAACTTTAGAAAATGTTTTTAAAACTAAAAACAAACTGTTTGGAAAAGAAATTTTGCAAATAGGTCCTCATACTTGTGGAAAATAGTATTTTATGAAATACGTTCAAAACTATAAGTATGAAAACGTGTGTGTTGATATCCCAATAGCTTCAGATGAAATCTAAACTATTTGCCTATATTCTAGCACTAGAGAGAAAATAAAAACTAGCTAATATCCTCATGTAGAATATAATTCTTGAGTCTTGATATAGCTTGAATCGGATGAAGCTTTTTATTACATTTAGTGTTCTTGAATGAACGTTGCTTCATCACTATGCCTCCTCCTACTTTGGATATCATCGTTGTAGCGCATATTCCATCCAATCCTCCATTGATAGTACTAACATGCTTGATATATGAATTCACTATATTTGCACTCAATAAGCCATTAGTATCGATAATGGTGGTTGTAAAACATCATCAAAACATAAGGGCTAACATGTTGTTGATTTGAATTATAGATGTGTGATGAGTAGCATTTTCGGAATAGTTGTCATAAATTAAAAGAATTTATTTGGTAACAGAATTATTTTAAAGAATGTTTTTTAAAAGAAAAAGGGAATCTATTCTGAGGAAAAAGAATTATTTTAGAATCTTATTTTGAAATGACAAGTGAGGTGTTAAAATTAGAATTTACGTAATTTTATCGAAAAGAAATTAATTAAGGAAAAATTATAAAATAGGAAAATATTACTTTTCATGCAAAAAGGAATTAATATATATATATATATATATATATATATATATATATATATATATGGGGAGGTTCTAATAAAAACCTCCTATAGCCTAAAAACTAAAAAACCAATATCATCCACATGGCTAGGATTCAGTCAAACAGTCAACAGAACATTGCATTAATTACCTCAACGAACACGATTATATATAGTATAATATATATATAATATATATATATATTATATATATATATATATATATATATATATATATATATATATATATATATATATATATATATAATATATATATAGGGAGAGGTTTCTAATAAAAACCTCCTTGGCCTAAAAACTAAAAACCAATATCATCCAATGGCTAGGATTCAGTCAAACAGTCAAACAGACACATGCATTAATTACCTCAACGGCAGTGAATCCAGATTCATTACCTCAACGAACAACAATATATATAATATATATATATATATATATATATATTATATTATTATATATATATATATATAGTATATATATATATATATATATATATTATATAATATATATATATATATATATAATATATATATATATAATGTGTGTGTGTGTGTGTGTATGTATGTATGTATGTATGTATGTATATGTATGCTATATTATATGTGTATGCTCTATATATGTATGTCTATATATATATATGTATGTATGTAGAGAGAGAGAGATACATTATACATACATTACAATATATTATATATATATATATATATATATATTATATATATATATATATTATATATATATATATATATTATATATATATATATATATATATATATATATATATATATTATATATACTATATGGGGGAGGTTCTAATAAAAACCTCCTTAGCCTAAAAACTAAAAACCAATATCATCCAATGCTAGGATTCAGTCAAACAGTTCACAGACACATGCATTAATTACCTTCAAAGCAGTGAATCCAGATTCATTACCTCAACGACACGTCCTTCACGCCAGTGAATCCAGATTCATTACCTCAACGAACACGTTTTCACTGCAGTGAATCTAGATTCACTGCAGTATCCAGATTTGTGTTCGTTGAGGTAATTAATGCATGTATTAATGCATGTCTTATGACTGTTTGACCATTGGATTCATCTAGATCAATGGATGATATTGGTTTTAGTTTTTAGGCTAAGGAGGTTTTTATTAGAACCTCTCCTATATATATTATATATATATATATATATATATTATATATGTATATATATATAT